AAAAATAAACTGAACAACTTTTGCCTCAGGGTCACATCGAAATTCTGTACCAAATTTGAAATAAAAAATGAACATAATTTTTTATTTTTTCATTTTTTTAATTTTTTTTTGGCCCGGCCGGGCGAGTGGTCCCGGGCCACTCTGGTAAACAAATTATTTTTTATTTTTTAATTGTATTTGCAATTTTGCAAGGAAAATGAGCAACAGTGAGATGACAATATCCAGAATGCACAATCACATTGAAAGCCAGATAGTATCTCAGTGTCCAGAAAGTGACATTGCACCAATATAACACCAATGGAGATTCGTAACATTGAAAACCAATGTCAATGAGAGCTTGCTCTCGCCACCACATCCAGTCCCTTCTCCCTCGGCGCCCAGCCTACTTCCTACACAGCTACTGTCTGCCTACTAATTGACAATGCAACTGTTGACGTCAGCGGCCAACGAAGTACTTGAAGATGTCGCCCAATGCAGACCATCGCCAATACGAGGTATGCGCCCTCACATCGTCATTATCATCATCCTTCTCTCTCTCCTCTGACTTACACCCACGTCTTCCCTCTGTACACCCGAAGACCACCCCTGCGCCTCACTGTTAGTCCAAGCCTCAGCCAGCTATGGAGGCTGGGCTATGGCGCTGCCCTCGGCAGCGCCCTGCTTCCTGCACGCGCGCAGCACCTTGCCCTTAGCTCCCAGCAGCCCGCGAGCAAATGCTCCAGCAGTGCTGCCGCATCATCTGGCAAGTGCCTAAATGAGAGCCCAGGCAGCGAGCTCTTTCCTATACGGAAAGAGCCTGCCTGCTCTGGCGGCCTGACTGGCCTGGGCCTCTGCCTGGAAGCTTCTGGAAGGCCCCAGGAGGCTGTGTCTCTGTTGCAGCTGCTGGGCCTCGTTTGGTTGGGCCTCCCAACTGTCTGTGTACGAGGCTGCGATTCTTGCCCAGGGCCTGCATTTCCGGAAAGGCCTGGAAAGCCGTGGATTATCTTTGCTGCTCGGCCTGTGTTTCCCTCAACCAACTGGCGCGTCACAACTGCCTGGACCCCAAATACGAAATTGACAGCAATGGGCCTCTTGATATTTGTTAGGCCCACCTTCACTTAGGGCGGGCACATCTGTAACAGGGGCCCCTTAGGCCTCCCGAGGACCCTGATCCTCGCATACTTTTAATTTGGTAAGGAATTTTGGTTTGACCCTGAGGTAGAAGTTTTTGATGTAAGGGATGCTGGGGCCATTTCCCGGCTATATGAATACGAGAGTTATATTTTTGTTATTAAAAAATTAAAAAGAAAGTTTTTCAGTTTATTTTTCTGCACAACATTGTTTTTTTTTTTTTTTTCCCAGTGTTTTCGCCCGCACCGCCTGGGCAACCACGGTGACCATACTTGCGGCGCACCTGCACTGTGCGCTGCACAGTGCGCTCTGCGCGGACCGCGGGTGCGCGCGCACCGGTGTGCGCCACGCATCTGGGTGCGCAGTGCGCACTGCGCACGTCTGGTGTGCTGTGCGCATGTGCGCAATTTATATTTCCATGTTCTAGTGGTAGAATCATTTGATTTTGCTCTCTCTCTCTCTCTCTCTCTCTCTCTCTCTCTCTCTCTCTCTCTCTCTCTCTCTCTCTCTCTCTCTC